AGTATTTTCAATACAATGCTTGTAATAATTTATCATTGTATGACCTTAACGTAATAATTATTCGTTCGTAGTTTATTTAATGTGTTGGCGAAGAAGTTTTTTATGTCAACTTTGATAAATTGGATTATATTATTAATAAATTCACTGACTTATCTTATAATATTACTCTCAGATTTATGATATTCCTTAGAAAAAATCTCATTAAACATCTTTCATGGGTTATTTTATACGAAAATAACTTTCGATGGCGATAAATCGATGGGTGTCAACAAACAGTTGTTGATTGAATAAACTGATAGATACAATTTGTTACCTAAAGCGTTATTGTCTCATAATCTCGTAGTTGTGAGTGAATATTCTAGAAAAATATAAAGATTTGGATACTGAAGACAGGAATTCAAAAATGCTTTTCTTTAAGTAATTAATTTTTTTTGGTAATTTACGTATAATTTTTCATTGGTTTTTAAATAAATCGCTTAGCATAATTTTGATATTAGTAAATATTATATTATGCAGTGATCAATCAATGATGCAGTAGAGAGATAAATACTTAAGCTATTTTGAGATTTACTTTGAAAACTGGTGCCCAAGTAGACATTGGGGTTATATGAATAATGCGATGTATTATATATTTTGTTAGTTGTCTAGATTTACTTTATTATTTAATTTTTAAATATATGTTAAAAGCTTCAAACAAAATTGTAAATATATCATGAAATACGCTAGTAATATTGTATTATTGTGTATTTTTATTTACAGTATTGTATGTTTAAGAAGAATATGATCGAATATTTTATGTCTAGCAAAATGAAATTTCTCTGTTTGGCATACTATCAATCATAATAGTTGTCTTGAAAAACACACCCTTCTTCGCGGAAAGTTAATTTTTATTATAAAATAACAGTAAAAAAAAAAATAATGAATAGTCTAAAAGATGTTAATAGTATTGTAAAACATGTTATGAAGTTAATAAATTATTATAATAATATTGAATGAGACAAATCAATATCAACAATTTTACTGAAAAATTTATACTATAATAATAAAAAGATGTAATAAAAATAGGTATTCCATTAATAGAATACTATACATGATAAGATTTTTTGTTTTCTAAATTTATTAATAATATAGAAATATATAATGGATAAAAAGTACATAATTTTAATATAATATTGGAAATTTAACTTATCTATGAATAGTAATAAATATACACTTTCATTTGCATTAAATTATAATATGAAAAAAGCATGATCTAACTGATTTATGTTCAGTAACTTTTTTATTTTTTTAAAATGGTTATATGTTTTTATTTAGATTTTAGAAATAAAAAAATCACGTCAACATTCATTAATAAATTCTTTTTCACGCGTTTGAAAACTTTGAAATATGTTTTAAAATTTGTTTTCTTGTTCAACTAAATTAATAATTAATAAAAAAAAATGTTGTATATAAATATAATATTACAACTATATTAAAAGGTGTGAAATAAGGTTAAAATACTAGATTTATTGTAAAATATAGGTAATTTAATTATAAAATTGTATAAAAATATATCAAATTAAATCAATATCACGTTAATTAATAAACGAAGCTAGTAAAAAAAAAAGTGAACTGTCGTGGTAGTGTATGACCGTCAGGAAATTAATTGTTCATAACAAATAGCTAAGTGGCAAAAGATATTAATTTATATGTTACTTGAATTGGAATAAAAATGATTAATATTTGTACATATTTAATTAAATTTAATTTTTTAACTAGATAAATGGTTTAATATAAAATAATACTCATTTAAATTTAAAAGTAACATTAAAAATTTGAAATGGTTTTTATGTTTAATAAATAAAAGAAACAATATAAGTATTAAGTTTAAATAAAAATTGAAAACTTTTAGAGTAGTTGATGTTAATTTGATAGATAGAGTTTTACATACATGAGAATGTACTTACTTATAGTTGTTGTTAAAAATACGTATCTGATAATTATTGTGTAGTGGTACATATTAGTTGATTATTATATATTCGCTTTTAAATTTTATGTAGGAAAAAAGGAATCAAGATAGTGGTTGAATGAAATCATGCAAACACAGTTTTGGAATAAATAATTCATACTATCAACTATGATATTTAGTATTCGTTTTAAAAGTAATATTGGAAAGTTTTAATTTGATCTGGGAATATTTATTAACTATTGATTTTTTTGTTTTGTTTATTTTTGTTTAATATTTTCCATAAAATAATTTTTAGGGTAGTTAAACAAACAAAGTCAACAATTTATAATAGAGTTATAAGATCTTTGAAAAATGTATTTTATATTTATTTTATTTTGTGTTTTTTGATTATGTTGTGGCATTGTGGGTGAAATAAATTGTACATAAATCATTTGATGATAATAATTTTCAATTCTAAGCTTTTAATAAGTCTTGAAAACATCATTTTTGTCTTATTCGTATCAACGATTTATTTTGTTGCAATGAAAAACAATATTGTTGACTATTATTATTATTTTTAATATTCCTTTTATGTATTAAGCTGAATATTTATTTTTCTGTTCTTTTTTTTTTCAATTTAAATACTACTGTAGAATTATCGATTAAAATTATCATGCAATTTATACATATTTTTTATGTGACAGTGGTTTATTAAAAAAATAATTTACATAAAGACATTGTATTAGCTATAAATCTTAGATGTAATTTATTCAGACCGTTAAATTCAATCATAATTTTGTAATTCGTAAAAAACTTTTCGATTATTTTAGTACAATATGGTGTTTTTGTTTTAAATTATTAATTACTTTATCGAATAAGTAAAAAAGTAAAATAAATTTATTTCAAGTACTTATCGTTATAAATATTATTATTTTACTCATTTTAATCGTATGTGATTGAAGTATTCAAAAGGTACAAATAGTGAAAATTATAATTATTAAATTATTTTATTTATTTATTTTTCTTTAAACAACAATACATAATATCAAAAATAAAAATATTTTTTTCGATTATTTATTGAGTGCCTCTCAGTTAATCGACGGGGATATAAACTATGTATAATATATATATATATAAATGTGTGTGTTTTTATTTTTATAATATTTTTCTGCTGGAGTTAAAGAATCACTTTGGAAAATAAACACCAATAATTTGGTATAATTTTAATTTCCGTGTGAGACGCTAACGATAAATAATTTGCCAAGCATACAATATACACGGGGAAGACTTGAGATTTAATATTTTTCGCTCCAGTCATATCAGATAATAGAATATAATGTTGGGGATAATATAATATGTGGTTTCTGCGGATTACCGGCTGAACAATGGCTAGGTGAACACTGCACGTTTATTATCGCAAACGGGCATACATAACGGATCCGTAGAAATTCAGGACACGGAGGAAAAAAAAAAAACAAATCGTAGAGGAACGTATAATAGAAGGAATAACCATTCGCCGCGAACAATATGGCTGAATCGGACGGTAAACAGAAAGGTAAAACTTAATGGACTATCGAGATAGCTTTGCGCGCGTGGTCGTTGAAATGGACGAGGCGGAAAATGGTCAAATAGATGCTGATGGACGCTATTAGGCGTGCATCCTGAGTCGTGACAGTTATCCATCTTAAGCCAGACCTATATTTTCCAGTCAACAAGGCGTGTTACGCGAGAGGGGAGATCATATTATTTTAATAGCAATGGAAAATTATTCAAGCGTCGTTGTTTTCATCGTAATAAACCATAATACGCTATTATTTATTTTTATTGTTGAACTAATCGAAGTTGGTAATCATCAACTGATGCATATTATTATTATTTATTATCATTGTGATCGAAATTTTCTGGCGATCGGATATTAGGTGCTACTTTTTTTTTTTCAAAGCCGTGCGGTCATTTTTGCGGTGTTATTGGTGTGGTATGTTGCAATGTTTTTGTAAATTAATACGAGTAGGTACAATGTACATATAGTTTCAGAGTATTAATATTTTTACTATGCGTTTTCTTGTTTAAAAATCATTATTATGTTATGTTTTAATAATGCAGAAAATAAACCAGAATTGTTTTGATTTAATAATAATGAATATTATTTGATCAAAGACTAAGATTCTTGAATTCCTTTTTCACAGTTTATATATTTCAAAATAACTAAAATAATACTAAGGAATTCGTGAAATTTAATTTATGAAAATATGAAAATAGATATAAAAATTATAGCATCAGTTATATTTTGTTTTACTAATAAGTTCAATAAAGTATGTATAAATTATTTTATATAATAACCAATATAAGTATAATTAGTTTATTAATGTTCACTAAAAAGTAAAAATTATATTCATAATAATTTAAAAAGCTGATAATTTTTTTTTTAATTATGTTATTTAAATTTTTTTATATAATGTATTTATTCAATTCAGTAATATATGGTAAAGGTGTCATCTTATTCTACAGTAAGTTAATATGTTACTTTTAAAGTTCCTACTTTGATGTAATTTATAAATATAGTAATATATTTACAAAAAAACAAAAATTTAAAGTTTAGTCAAAACTCAAAATTATTTAATTATTATTTTAAAGTATAATTCAATACTATCAGTTTGGTTAGTTATAAGCTGTATATTTTTTCATTTTATCAACATTTCATTCTTATTGTATAAGTACCTATAATTTTTAATTATTTTATACTATAAATTGATACAGATACTTGTTGATATAACAATATATTAACTATGTATTTTTAAATAAAACCAAACTATGAGTTTTACATAGGTAATTATTAGTTTTAAGGTAACAAATATTATATTATTTTTAATTTATTGACTTATATAGGTTAAGAGTATAAAATGTTGGTTGTATATAATATGGTAATGTATAATGTCTAGACATTTATCAATTAGTTTATTGAATAAAGTGAGTTTAATTAAATTAAAAAAGATAATTTAAAAGCTAAAATAATAGACATGTTATTTAAATAATATGAAAAAAAAAAAAATATAAATTTATTTTGTTTTTTCAGTTGACGATGGCAGATTATCAATATGGATTGTCTAGTATTCAGGACAATCATATTCTGCATCAAGTTATTGCTAAACGAAAAAAAATGTGCGAATCTGTCATAAATGACCCACCAGGTGAGTGTATCTCGTAAATTTGTTTTAAATATTAATTATTAATTTAGAAATTATTGTAAGTTGTCATATGTGATAGATTAATTACATTCCCAGAAGAAAAATTTTGTATCATATGAATAAGAATAATTAAAACTCATGTATTGTATTTTATCAGTCATTGAATGGCGATAATTATCTTCTTTTTTTATATTATATAATATTAATTAATTTTATTATTAGTATTAAGGTAAGTCGAAATGTGGTATTAGTTTTTGGAAAACTTTTTTTTTACCTAGCAAAAATGTTAGTTAATATTTATAGAAAAAATATCCAAAACTGTTAAATGTCTAAAATCTAAATACGTAATTTAAAATTAGTCTCATAATTTTGAAAATTATACCATGTATAGAAAATTTAAAAAAATATATTAGGTTAAGTGATAAGTATCTATAATTATTTGTTTTAAATTAAATTAAAAAATTGATTTCGGCAAAAGCTGGTTTTGCATGAAAATTATCGTTTTTTATCAATTTTTTTTTTTTTATTGTTTCTAAATTTTTAAAAAAAGTGCTGGGAATTCTTTGCTTGTAAATTGTGATCCAACCCAAAATATAAAATAGATTTACTTTCTTAATAGAAAAATATCGAAGTTGAAAATCAAAGAATTTTTAATGCTATATTTCGTGTATACACTATATATAATTTTTTTATTATTGTAATTAATATATTTGTATTAATCGTTTCACTCTAAAATCTAGAATTTAAAAAATATTATAGTTGATCACTCTTTTCAGATTCTAAAATATATTATTGATAAAGTGATGTAATATGAGCTATAAATAGTATAACTAGTATAGTTTTATAATCGATGGACATGATAATGTGTATTTATATATTATATACCCAACTACTATAGTTTATATTAGCCTCTTTAGTTCTTTTTTTTTTACTTTATTAATCTGATTATTGTGTCACTGGTATACATAATATTTGTCGATTGTTTTTTGCAGTTGACAAATGTTTTATATATTTATTCAAATAATGTGATATCCTAAGGTGAAACGAATTTAATATGATATATTTGCTCGTCGTTTACTTAAAGATAAATATTTGTTATAATTCTAAAGTATAGTGCATTGCAATTGCAAACGTCAAGTATTAAAACGTTGCTACAAGACAAATAGAAATTATGTAATTTTAAATGTTAGTCTAATGCGTGGTATGTATTAAATAAATTATATGATTTGAACTATGTTAAAATGATATCTATATTATATATATATATAATTATTAACTAAATTAATATTTAAAATTTTGTTAAATTTTAGTTTAAAAGTTACTATTCAAAGATAATTGTAGACACTTTTTAGTTTTAACGAAATTATCTTATTTTTGAGTTGCTCTTTATAAATTTTTTGTTTTTTTTTTTCAGTATTATGTGTAATAAAATCATTAAATAAATTATTTTGTAAGTAAAATTTATTTAATTTTAAATAATATTACAAAGTTTCAAAAATGTTTGTGCATAAAAAAAAAATAACATGTACCTAACTAAAATTCTTTCTAACTTTAAATTGCATTTAAAGTATAAGATTGCTTTTATACACAGATTATTTATGTAATTTAAATATACTTCTATAGTCTATATCACGTTATATAATTCTGTTAAAATTAAATTTACTGGTTATGAAACGTTACGTAGGTGGTTACCATTATACTACGTGCATATTTTAAACGACAGACTTTCGAAAAAACCACACGAATTTAATATTATTTTGTCGTTTTTTTCGGGATATAATAGGCTGTATTTTTTTTTTAAATTTAGTTTCACATTTCATTATGGGTTTTATTGAAAGTGTGTCAATTATTTATTGATATGTCAATAAGTTTTTTTTTTTGGTATCGGTGAAAAGGTAAAAGAAAATTGAAAACTTCACAAAAAATATAGTATGTAATTAAATAATATTTTATTGATTATTCGTATAGAAACCATATTGAATTAAATATATAAACAAAGTAACTACTTGATATTAGTTTAATTGTTTAAATGCACAAACGAGTGTGTTTATTTTGTAAATTGTTTATGTTTAATATAAACAATACTCTAATTCAATTTTTTTTAACATGATGTATATATATATATATGTGTATTTGTATATAATTTTTAAATATCTATTTAGTATATATTTGAAAATATAAGTCAATTCAATATGTAATACGTTCAGGAACTGAGAACTTCATGATTTTTTCGGTCGACTCATAAAACTCAATTAAATTGGTTTCTATTACGATTTTGGATTTTAAAATTATTAAATAAGGGTTTCGGTTAAAATTGATGCTTATTGATTTTTAAAAATGCATATTTGCAATAACATTTTACAAAGGTATGTGTAGTAGATAGTATTATACTGAGTAGTTTACTATCGTACATTTAATTTACGCTGATCGATATTATTTTATAAACAAATAATACATTATTTTAAATTAGAATAATATAGTTACTAAATAATAAATTTATTTATATAATTATAAATATTTATAGCCTCGATGTAAATAAAATACGATAAATTGTACTTATTTAATAGTAATTGAATAAGATAACTGCGTAAGGTAAAACATATTTTTTAACGATGTACGTTGAAATTCGGCTCATGTTGAAAATAATAAAATGCAGAGTATCATATAGAAGTAAATATAATATAATTTATAATCGGCCGCTGCCTGCAGATGCGACTCGAATGTGTGAGTGAGCAATTGTGCGTGTAGAAGACCATGAGATGGAATATAAAACTATAAATAACTGAATATTATTATTCGTATTTCGTAATAACTCGTAGAAGCCAATCATTGTTCCATCATTCTCGTTTTATTGCAAATGAAAAATGGGATTCATATGTTTGTAAATTAATCGTTGTCAATCGTACAACATGATTATTCCAAATTAAAAATATTAAAAAAAAATATTTCTATGAAAAATTATTATATTTTGATTAAAATAAAACTCAATAATTTAAAAAAAAATGTTCAAATACACCGTAGAACCGATAAAAATCTAAAAGAATCGCAAAACTTATATTAATCTAAATAAATCTTGGTTTTGGTTTTATATATTGTGAAATATGGGTTTTAAGAAAGGTTCTGGTTCTCAGATTTTCTCCAGAAAACGATACGAGAACCGGTAATTTTGATTTTAATTATTGTTTCTGAACGAGTTATGTATTATTATTTATATAAAAAAATTTAATTGATTTTAAAACCGTGTAAACATCCATCTTCAATAAACATATTAATAATTATATATATTATAAATAAAATGTTAAAATTTTTATCATTGACATTGGTGAAATGTTATAGATATCCAATAAATTATTAAAAGTATTTAAACATGTGTCATTCTATGTACAGTTAAGCATGTTTATCCAGACTGAGTACTGTGTACTTAAGGATTATGATGGATATGAAGCATATTATATATCAGGTGTTTAAGATATAACTATCAAAAAAGTCATAAATTGACGCTAAAGTAAAGTTAATAATATAATATGATAGTTTATAATATTCAGTATTTACATTTTAAAATTCCTAAATTTATTTCATGAATCTTATATTAGGTAGTGAAACATACGATTTTAATACTGTAATAAAAACCATATAAGTATATAAACCGTTGTTAAAGTGGTATTTTAATTCATATTATAATGTTCTAAGTATATTATATGGTATTTCTTCACTATTTTTTAAACAGTTTTAAAGTATAAGTGATGATTTTTGTTTTTGTTCTTAGTTGTTTTTAATTGTACGGTGGAAAAGATTATATTTGTTATTTGTAAAAAATGTATTGTCGTTGTTGTTGTGAAACAAAAACTTTTCGTGTTTTGTAGTCCATTTGGAGAAAATATAAAAGTTTTCTTATTTTCTGCTATCATCTGTTTGGATTGCAATACTGCACTTGTATATTAAAAATAATAAAATATACATTTGACTGATATTGCAAGGTTATGCCATGACACACTATATTGCTGCTCTAATGTCAACAGAATTGAGAAACTAACACTATTGATCATCGGAAAAGTTATTGAAAACACATTGAGTTCATATAAAAAATAAAATATAGCATATATAAATAAATAAATAAATAATACCAGAATATGTTATTACACGAAAGTGATGACTCGCCAAGAACAATGATTTTAAAAGATTTATTTCAAGAAAGAACATATAAAATATTAATGATATTTTACTTTTAATACAATTCATGATTACCTCTATATAAAATCATTGTTTAATAATAAATACACTATTAGTATTGTTAGTAAGTTTTACGTAGTCTGAACTTCGGTTAACCTACATATTCTTATCTATGAAAAATACAAAGAAAAAGAGTCTAGTATTTTAGAATTGGAGATAAATTTATTGTTAAATTTGAAGTGATATTATAAATATATGGTAGGTACATTTCAACACGTTTATTTTCAGATAAAACTACTACATAAGTATGGAGATAAAATTTATACATCATGCGTAAATATTTTAAATGCAATATCCATTAAACTTGTAATGAATTCAGTTCGTGTGATTATAATATTTTATGTTTGAAACAAATTTAATTCCATCAATGTTTTTTTTAGCCTTAAAGGGTCATATTTTTGTAGTGAGCAAAAGCTGAATGTATTACTGCTAAAAATATTTTCACAATAAAATAATTATTACAGCGATAATAAAATGTTGGTGGTTTTTGGAATATATATTTTACCACTTACTTTTATTTTGGTTATATAGCAAGTCCTTACATATTTAAATGCTAGCATGTAAAAATAAATAACATTTTTTTTAGTCGAATAGATATAATAAAATGTTTATGAAATTGAAAGTGTTTTTAATTTTGCTATTCTTTAAAAAATATATTTTCAACATTTACCTTATTAATTTAATTAATTATTATGAATGCACAATCACTTCAACATATTATTACTTGATATAACGTACCTAATTCATTTAAAATAATTGCTTGTTATTACCTG